CCAATCATCTTGTGAGGTTACCAGTGGAATGCGATTGGTTAGATTCATTTGAAGTTGAAAAGGTTTAGACTTATAACAACAAAGTTATCCACCACACAGTTGGTGAATGAATAACTGGAAATAAAATACGAAATCCCACTAATCGGATGTACGAACAGTAATTCTAAACAGATACAGTTGAGAAGGGAATATTGACGACTCATGTGACTATAACGTCACGAAAGGAACGGAACCAAAATGTGAAAATTGGGGTTATTCGGGACAGGCGTAATAAATACGGGTCATTTAACATGTGGTTCCGAAGATTTCTCAAGGTGAGAAATCGGTGTTCTTTTTTCACAAATTGAGTTTTTGATGCCTAAATTAATATGCGAAAAACTCACTCCTCAGACCAGTGGGGGTTCGACGATTGTGTAGCCTTTTGTCGTCGCGGACTGGACAATAGCCCAGTATGAATGTTTGAGCTTCGCGTGCCCGTCCAGAAGCTATCGGTTCGTTTCGAATTTGCTTTGTTCAACCCGAACAAACGTTGAGATTTGGTCGTGGCTGAACTCATCGAACAGGTGGTGGTCGATTTCGTGGAATCGTTGCAAGCTGGTTGAACAACAATGGTCTGGGACGAGATATGAAGGGTGGGGCAATGAGTGGCGGAATGATAGGTCAGTCAATCTGGACTTGAGCGCGATGTTCCCACGAAAGATGCGTGCAAAATTATATAGTTCACGTTCATGAACTTGAAAACAACAGTACGTGACGAAAGTAAAGGAAGGAAATAGAACAGAGTATGCTGAAGCCACAATAAATAAATAAAGCTTTAAAATGACCATTGACACAGACAGCCACTGAATAACTTTCAGGGTTGATTATTGAAGTTCAAAAACAAGAACGATTAATTTCAAAGGAGGGAGCCAAACACCAAATAGTCACAATGAGGCAGTAGTGGTTGAAATGACCCCTAATACAAAGGAAACAAACCTGATCAGCCCAGTAACTAAGTTTGGCGCCGACAAACTGGTAATTTCCAGCTGATCGGACAGATATTCTCTAGTAGCTATGCGATCTACTCCTGAATGCTACAAGAGCACTCACGGCTCACAGGACCAGCCTGCAGAAAAACGCTATCATACTTGAAACGCGGGCAGCTGTTAGTAATGACGTGTAGAGGAATATCAGTGGACGGGAAGTAGTGTGAGGATTGAAAATTTGCAAGGCAGCCTCCAAGAGTTTCAGCATGGCCAGGGATGGGTGTCAAGGGTTGTGGTTGGCCCCCCTTCCCTATCACCTCGTGAAATGCTCCCATTAGACCAAGCGTCTCTAATAGCCTCTGTTGAGGAAGCCCTACTCACCGCCTTCTCGTGACGGTGTTTTTGCACGAAAGTGAGAGGACGAATAGCCGACATCCGGGGCTCTAACCGGGTTGGTGGACCACTGGTAGTGCACCTGGGGGAGTTGGCCAAAATCCCTCATTCCAAATCAACCATGAGGAGATGTACGAATTACACACACAATGTATTGCTTGTGGCAATAGTCACCGGCTCGATTGGGCATCGAGGTGTATTGAGCACTTTGGACGTTTGACCCCGTCCAAAGGGCTTATGATCTGATGACCTGGACATCAGCTCCTAATGGATTGCGGTGTTCGTATACTTCCTCGCTGCCTTGCGGGTCAGGCTTTGGCTAAGTCTCCGGTTGTGGATTCTTCAAGCAAATTCATTTGCGTTGGCCTGGGCAACATGGCAGTATTCCGCCCACTGCATGTGGTCGCATGTGGAACGCTTTTCTTTATTATAAAGATTATGGTACCATGATTTGCTTGGCACACGATCAGGATTCAAACGTGCGTGAAAATCCAAATATACACTATGGACATACATCTTCGAAAAGAAGAGTTCAACAATACAATATGGCCAACTTCCAGGAAAAGAAGCAATGCAGCTGAATGCACAAAATTATTGATTGAACAAAATTTAATAAAAACATGCCTATGATTTTTTGCAATAATTTTATTTTGTCCTAGGATCTTTCTTTATACCCGGAACCCATCAAAGCAAAACATAGCTCAAAATTAACACTCGGGTAACGTTGGAGACAGCTCGATATTGCCAAATCTGGAGAATTTCTCTTCAGCTATTGCCGATCAAAAAAATATCTGTAGCCCCTGCGAACTCCCTTCATACTTAGCATCGATATGAAGCAACTGAACCCCGCATTGCACTGCTGGGATCGAGAGCTCATGACACCGACGTGACTGCCATAAACAATGCCATACTGCTTGATATTCGGGTAAAAACACGCAAACATCAAACGTCTAATTATTAGTGGATCAATTGTCAATCAAGACTTTTCTGTTACGTGATTTTTTGACCGACAAAAGTTATCAAGATATCTCAGATAAGTTGTTTTCAAACGGTGATCATACCCCAGTATTGAGTCATTCGATTAACCTGACTATAATTCAGATTTAAATACTTATAAGAACACTTCGGTTGCCACAACAGGAATTTTATGTGAAAACCGGTGTCAGTTTCCAATAACGGAAGAATTGAATGGGGAGATTCACTGCATATTTCGGGGTGCAAAAAACTTCGCTCTTATGTCCGATGAACGGTACGCACCGGGCAATGTAAGCACGTGTGGAGGTGAAATGTTGTGTAAACTTTACTGGATAATTGCATTACGATAAACGTATAAGTAATCATTGATCGATGTATTTTGAAAATAAAATGCATCTATCATCAGAAGTTAGATTACTCTACTGTGGTAAACCTTTAAAAACGACTGTGTTGTAAGGAAAACGTGCCAAAAAGAAACAAGTGATCGTTATTATTATTTTACACACGGTATCTGAAGAATGATTTGTTCACAACCTAAATCGTACTCATTCGCTTCTAAGTATCCATTATAACTCAGTCATTTGAGAAAATAAGATATGAATTTGGTGAACTTGTTCAATCCACAGAGCGACATTAAATTGGGGTGTGTGCTTGTGTGCCTGTAGCTATCTCAGTTTTAACTTGTTCGCATTAGGGGACAGCAAACACTTCGGAGTCCAAAACTGAGAAGCCATGACACTATCATGATCAATACGAACACCGCATTTATTCGAGTTCTTGCTCATTGTAGGTTTTGTGACTAACGGGTATTGGTCACTACATGAGTGCACTAACTACAGACAACCTTTGCACTCCGTTTTCTTTACTGATCGATATCAGTTAATCACTGAAAATTTGAAACTAAAGACCCGGAACGCTTTGAAGTTGATCACAGTTTCACGGCGAACCATGACAGCATGTTGCTCGGATGTTATTTTTCACCCAACTGTACATAATCATTTTGTGACTGAAACACATTTCAGTAGTTCATGGAATGGCGAACAAAATAGTATTTAGCATAATACAATTCCCCTATGGGTGAATGTTATTGAGTATAGGGGAAGGGAGGATAGTTTTGAAAAACTCACCTTTGTCATTTCTGTGGCTAATGCAGAACGGGATCCCGAAATTGCAATTCGGCTAACCAAATGCCTGGGTGAGCTGGCTCCCGAAGAACCATGGCTGCTAGTTTTGTCATCCTCTTCACCATCATTGTTATCCGCGGAAGCGTTGTCAACATCACCGATGAACTCACTTTGAACTCCGGCTTGAGTGAGAGATTGAACTGGGGAGGTATGCCGATAGAAAAACGGATCACGTTCCGCTGTGGCGGCTCTTTGATTATGCATAAGTAGGCGTAATTCCGTAGCTTCCACATTACCAGACAGTGGAACGGTGGCTGCTCGCATGGGTGCACCAGCCGTGTCGAAGGATTGTGCTAGCTCGCGCAACGGGCTGAATATCTCGTCTAAATCACGCGGTGACAACGCGACCTGGGCGCGAGCTTTGGCAATATAATGCTCGTAGGCGCGGCCGAAAGTAACCACATCGTAGCACGATGCACTCGGGCAATCAATGTAGACGGAAGAAATTCGAGGCCGACCTTGGGAGTGATTTGGGTTATCCGATTTTCGAGTCAAAGCCGTTTGGGGGATTTGAGGTGATTCTGGAGGTTGAGGAGCGGGTGCCTTATGCGGACCTAGTAGAAGGGTGATCAAATGCTGATTAAAGTGGATTTAAGAACACTACATGAATGAAGTAAGTGCACCATTGACTGCCCCTACTGCTGCCTCACTGTGCCAACAACTGGCACTGTCACTTCCCTACGGCACAACAGCATATCTATCCATTGAAATGCAACGCGCTATTTTAAAATTACAAGATTATTTTGTTAAAAAAAGGAGATCTCTCCAATCACACCGACAATCTTCATCGCCATGTTTTACGCCTTCCGCTGTACCACGTAAACAGTTACATAAAGCTAGAGAGAGACTTTGCCGATGACCAGACCCTCCAACTGAACACAAAAGTGATGAGACTTGATAATTTATAGAGCTGCATTCACTAAACAGGTAGATGAAACAAACATTACCGATAGACTTCTATCCATGAGAACAACTTCTTACGGGCATCAGTAGAACCTGAGACGACAGCGTTTTACAATTTCAATTAAAGTAATTAATAATTAAAACGATCTAATAACTGCTGGCAGACACGACGTTGGTAGGAATCTTGATCAAATATTGCGTCAAATGACAAACGAATGAATAACTTGACAAAAGGTATGCATGCACAGAGGCACGCTACACGTTTTTATTGCCAGTGCCATGGTGCAGTTCAACTACGAGTACAAAAAACAATCTGATCTGAATTTTTTCTGTTTTGCAGAAAAGAGACTCATTTTGTCATAAGTTTGGCCTGGTGGAACACGATATGTTAGAGGCCCTATACTTCTCGAGACAATGGTCTATATTGAAACTTGTATGATAATATATAAGAAAAACCAATACATTTGCAGCATGACAAATAAAGCTCTTCAAGTGGTCTCTGACATCAAATTCTAGGCGCCGAAATATTCAGCATAGTTGGTGTAGTCAAAGTGAGATCCTAGGAATAAACCATACGCGGAATTTCTCCGAGATGCTCAAGAATGGTGGAAAAAGGCCAAGTGCTGAAAGACATTCTATTCAACCCGAGTGAGTTCTAAACTTCCGTTACGGTCTTTCGGGTCCAGAATCAAACACCATTGTTCTGTATCTATACACGCTGCTAGATATAGTGGAGAAACAAATTAAACTAAGAAGGAACAAGTTTGAAACGCAAAGGAAATTTCTTTCTTTTAGGAGTTTGTTAATTTTAGATGGGGAACAATAAGTTGACTTCACACGACAAACTCTTTCTTTGTCCCATGCACGAAACGCATGCTTACGTGATATATCTGTTCTTCGACGAGTAAGCTGACCATTGTTCATGGAAGGTGGCGCCTCCGATGCACATGGTTTCTCCACATTTTTTGGGTGTGACTGGCCAGTTGTACTCAACGGTACTTCAACACCTAGACGTTCCTCATTGATCTCGACCGCAATACACCGGAAATCGGTGTCAGTGTCACACAATAACGGCACCTTGCTAGGTGATCCAGCTGGTGAATTGGGTCGACCAAAAGAATTTTGTGTGGTTGTGGAACCATTGTCTTGGTTAGTGGAACTGGAGTGCTTCGACCAGTATTTATTCCACACATCGTGGAACACTGCGTCCAAACCATCGCTTGCGTCCCCTAAACTCTCTGGAGTTTTGGGGGTAGAGTTCGGCACGACAGATCTCATTTGAGGACTTTCTTGCAACGAAGACTGGGGTTCGAATAAGGAATATGCACTGGACTTTTTGAGGGCGATATAGTCTGAAATAAATACAAAAGAAGGAAGTGTGTTTGTTCATCGGATTTCAAAACTTTTATGGAAACAGAGTGTTATCAAACCGCTTGCCACAAAACCTACACTCAGATTCCAGAAAGAGGATGAGAGGAATGCCGATAACTTCATATTTACTAAAAAGGTTCACTGTGTCAGGTTTAGGTTGGCAACAATAAGGGGTATTAGGTGATATGGGTCCATATCCCATAGGTTTACGGGGTGTATTCTCGAATTGCATCACCCCCGAACAAAATTATTCAGTTATATCTCAATGCTGTTTTCAGTTGTTCGCATACTAATTGCGGAGCTGATCCTTCCCTAAAGGAAAACGGGCAGATGTCAAACAAGGCCCAATCTCATCAGGTCAGATAATTGAGCACCTGGCGATTTTCCCCTTAATTGCCCACCTTCGCCTTTGAAGAGGTCGGTTTATCATTAGCCTGTGGGAGAATTATTTGCACTTCATTCGACAGCTGTCGCTCGTCCAAGAGAGACAGCCCTTAGGTAACAGGAAGTTGTCTCGTCCACGTTTCGCCTATCTCATTGGGTACATGAGACTGAGGGAAAATCGTGGACGGCGTACCGATAATCAATAAAAAAACTGTGGTAGGTTCAAGGAAGCTCTCCACCTCACCTTTCAACTTCATTCACACGCTCAACTCACCGTGCCAGGCGATTAGGCCTCTCGAACCCACGGTGCTTCTGATGCTGAGATTGCATGATCCGCATACATTCAAGATGTCAACTCGGTTTGTGATGAAATGTTGACAACAAAATTGTCAATCTTGGCGAACATATGAAAATGGAAAGCAGCCTTGTTCACGGAATTAAATTTTCATTAGTCACTACGTTGAATATTACTCGCTAATTAATCAAAGGAAAGTAACTATTTTTTACCACAAACACTCTAACCAGGAAACATTCAGGAGGTGAATTTGAAGCAAAAACTTATTGACAAACCCATCCATATTTAATTATCTCAGCCATTCATGGAAATCCTCAAGTGTAGAAAAAAACAATAATTCCGGGACTTAGTTCGATACTGATTTGGACGATAACGAAAATAACTGGTCAATTTAACAAAATAACACGCATACTCATCTTCGTCAGAACGCTCAATACCATTCGGATCATAATGTGTTTGAAGACAATAAAAGCCGTGTAACATAATCGAGACAAGGAATATTCCAAGCACACTCGGTTTGATCGTACCCGGGACAGTAGTATCACTGTAGCGCTGTTTCCGTTCACCGGTCCGAGATCGAAACCACGGTCCGCTGGCTGTGTTCCCCACTGCCGTATTCACACGGTCCAAGGTCTGTGTGCGAGCGACTGTAGTCGGGGGAGAAGCTTTGGCTAGCGGGGAACCGGCCAACTGATCACCACAACCACTTCCTTTGAGAACAGCATCGTTTAGCCCGGAGGGATCAAGTAATCCGTGAGCTGTGCTCAATTCGGCCATGTTCAGCACAATATGTTTCGCTTTCTCTGGAATAGCGGCATCATAATTCTCGAGGATTAGACGTTTAATCTCCCGACACCAGAGTCGTTTCACTTCCAGTGTGGGAGCTTGCAATGTGCGTTGCGCTTTCGGATTGTCAAACGGGAGAATGTGAAACGCAAGGGCATCTTTGGGGATACATTCGACCAGCATGAGATTCGCGCACTGTTTGATTCCCACAGATAGGGAGTGGGGATGAAGAACGAGGATCAGTGAATGGAACGGGGACAGTATGCGGAAGGGAAGATAAGGGGTAGCCGGAGTGGGGAGAGAAAACGTGAGAAGCCAACTTGGGATATGTGCATTCAATAAACGTAGCGAATAGGATAGGTCATCTCAATGAGAAAAACTCAAAGCTGTCAACTTAGGCGCTTTTATAATATGACTGAATGGATGGGTGTGAGGTTTGTGGACCAGGTTGGCAGAGAATAATTAATTAATAAAACACGTTCTTACCGGATTGCTTCACACAGTACTTAGAAGCAGTGGGTTGAGGTTATGAATGATAATTGGTTCGCATAAACGATTCGATATGTTGAACCACTCAACTCCATGTAATAAAACCCGGGGAGTGCAGAGCTTTATGTTACCGAGCGCGTCCCCAGGTCACGGCTAGGGGAATGTCCGTCATCTCGCTGCTAATCGTGGATAAGCTGAAATTCGGTCCGCCGAATAAACGGTCGCAGACGATCAGTGGCAGCACTCGAGGATGTGGTGGGTTTAACTAGCGGCAATGGTTCTCCGCACAGAACACCACAATTATCTGTGGACAGCGCTGTGACGTGGCGAGTGTGGTCAGCCACTAAGTGTGGGCATTGCCCCTTGTCGAGATAAGTTGCCCGATAAGGTCTTCCAGAAGAGGCGAATGAACCAAAAACTGGCCACAGGCTTACCTGGAACATTACTGCTGCCTTGCGGACCACGCTTAGTTGAGCAAAGGTTAGCGTGCACCCTCGAACAAGGCCCATTCTGTGCCGTGCGACCGTGTAGTACAATAGCACACAACGCACATAGCTATGGAATTTCTTGTAATCATGACTCTACACTCCGAAGCTTTCTTATCAAACGGAAAAAGTTCTGCACCGTATACACCCTCATTTTTCCCCAGACTTCCCCCAACTCACCTTTACCTGACATATCTTAATCTCTCTCGGGTTCTTCCGACGCTCGTACTAGAGCTTCAGGTGTCAATTCTGCCGCTGTTCTCTCGTTTTATATCTCAGCTAACATCCAAGTCTCACCGAATCCTCCATCAGCTGAAACCCTTCTTCGTCCTCGATGTCCGTTCAAACTAGCAACATTTAATGTGCGTACTCTGTGTATGTGATCGGTGCTTTCTCACGACAGTCAAACATGAACAGGACCTCCTGGAACGAATTAAAGTTTTTCAAATTGTACCCGACAGACTATTCCATCAATTATTTTAGGTGCTTGTCGGAATTACGAAGAACTGTTCCAGATGAGACGTTACGTTCTACGTAGGCTTGTTTACCTCTGTCGAAGGCTGTTCGCCGAAGAAATAACCCTCCTAGTCCCGACGGTATCTTATGGATTTATAACGCTCCTACAAGCCAACTGAGCGCATCGGATTCTGTGCCTATCAATCGATGACGAAGCCCGTTCAGTAGATCACAGGTGCCTGTTCATTAAACCGGTATATTTAACAGCCAACTACAGTTGTGATACACAACAAGACGCTTTCTGTGACAAACTCACCGAACTCAATTGGTTGAGCCGAGGTTCCGATATGGTTCTGCTTGCAGCTGAATTTAACGAGCAGGTTGGCAAACTGAGCACATCGGAAGCTTGCCCTGATTGTCAGTGGGATCTTCCGTCCCAGCGAACAGATAACGTCGATTAACTTCTTCAGTTCTGAGTAAACTACTGTCTATTCCTACCCAGTACCAATTTCCGACACACTGTCAACGGACGGCAACGTGGCACTCCAACTCAATTGGTAGACCAGCTAAAATCGACTACATAATAATAAGCTACCATTGGCGTGGAGTATAAAATTGCGGGTTTTATAGAACCACCTGCTTTGAGTTTGATGATGTACTTCACGCTCCGAATTACTGGTTGCCGACAAAACCAGCAAACTTGGTCAGCATATCATCATCTGTTTGTCTCAACATTTCGCGGGCGTTATGAATAAGCACTGGTGCGTGAACTAAGTACACATCAGCGTGATGGGATAAATGAGCAGTAGGATCAGGCGCGCAATCCACTGCGCAACGAACGCTGCTCGTGGATTTGGGCTTCAAACCCGTCCGATACATTGGGTAGCTCACGAGTCAGTAGCCCTGATGGAGAAAAAACGACAACTCCGGATCAGAATAAGGGTAGGTGGCGACTGCAACGTCAGCTCATGAACAGCCTCAAGAAAGAGCTTGAAAACTGATGAGTAAGAATAGCTAGTGAACTGGAAGCTACTTCTGCATCAAACATTGTTCACTGTTACGAAAACAGACTCTACATGTCCATTCCTATTAGGTTTGGCACTTCGATGGAGGTATTAAGCACACAATTAGCGGTTAAGGATGTGCTACCGATTTACGCCCAGACTTCTCATTCTGAACAAGTGTGCCCACTACAGATTGAAGACGGGATGCCAGGGGAGACCATCTCATTTTGCATTTATCAATTCATTTGTTCCTGTATTTNAATCTGCATAGTTCGAACAACCAGATGCCCGACATATCGTATCCGAAATGACCACTCCAAACAGGTTAGTGTAAAGAGCAATGCTGCACGTAGCCAAAATAAATCACTCAGTTAATCTGACTGATTCATTTTGACCTATCCACACTATCAAAGGGCTAAGATCAAAAATGTCGGAGGTCCGCTACTCGCTAAGTAGGCTGGTGGAAAGAACAAGTGANTCAAGTTAACTTACGCACCGAATCGCTTGTTCGCTGCTCCGTGATCTCACTGCTTTTGGAGAGTTGTTCTTATAGATGTGCATACCTAGACGATTAAGCTGTTAGATCGGCAGTAGGCAGCAGTTTAATAACCAGAAGTATCACTTTCACGATCTAAGAAAAACTGTCTTTTCAAAGAATACGTTTTTTCTTTGCTGACTTGGAGATTGGAAGTTCCCCTCGAGCGCCACACCCTATCAAGTCACCAGAACCTAATGAAATACATCTATTGGTACCGATCGAATGGTACCTCTGTTGACCAGATTCGAGCATAGTAAACAATTGGATGAATGGGAGAGTGACGGTGTTACCTTTATACTAAAGCAAGAGCAAAGTGCACGCGAGCTCCATGTCGGCTGACCTCACCGGCACGGTCGGAAACTTCTTGGAACGCCCAGTTTCGGCTCAGATAAGAGATCATCCACAGAACCGCATATTGTTTACTTGACAACAAATTGGTTTTCCCAGGGGTCGATCATAGGTATCAAACCTGCGCCAGTGTGTAAAATTGAGGATCCTATGCAGCTTTAAAAGACTTAATCCCTCATTCTATAGTCTAAGACAAGCCCTACCACTGAACTCCCATGTTTGTAAGCCCTTGAGTGGGAAAGCGAGAAAAGTGTGCTTATGCTGCAGACTGACCTTCCAAATGCTAGATTGTTAACGGCACCAGAGAGTACCGGTTACCTCAAGCTCACATTGACAGAATGTGTGCGTCAGTCTGAGACATTATCGGTCCTATTCGACGTTTCGCTAACAGATGAACTTGGAGTGTCTCCGTGCTATCGCCAACTTGTCGCTAAACCAGGAAGTGCTGCATAACCACGAAGGACTTCGAGTTTCACGCCGCTCAAGAGGATACAGCACCAACCCGAATAATCATTGGCTGACGAGGAATAAAATACAACAAGCCACGAAATAACAGTATCGTTTCCTGGGGAGTATCAAGGAACGACATTGTCTCCGTCTGGTGCATCATCAGAGAAGAGGTACGCACAAAATACTGCAAACAGAGCTTGTACCAGCGGATAGATACTTGAAATATGGGCCTCGCTGTTATGCTCAATAAGATGAGATGGAAAGGTACACGGTTATTCCTTCATGATCGAGGAGGGTTGATTAACTCATAGAACGCGTCTCCAGGTGTCGTGGTGGAAGAGGAAATATTCAAGAGTTTCAAAAGCAATTCAGAAAAACATGCTGCAACGATGGTGCAACTTTATCTCCGCTAGGGGCAATGCTGGAACCTCTGAAATGAAGATCAGTCGGGGAATTTTCCCACTGTCTAGTGCTAAAGACTGCATCCATCCAAACCCTCATGGAAGCGTTTATAATTATCTGCCCTTAATCATCATAAAACATAATATTACTACTCGTAGAGATGCACCTAAACCCGAAGTCAGCCGTAATATTGTACACCAATAGCTCTAATCATTGTCTTTTTTCCTGAATGAGACAACACCTTGTGCATTTGTTTAGTCTAAAAAACCCAATCAACACAAATAGTCTATCATTAGGTTTCATGCCGCGATTGGCAGTTGATACTCTGGCTTCTAGCATCAACCACTATTTCTGACCTGGTTTTTGTTTTCTGCGCAGTGACAATCCCTCCAAATTCGACTCAACATCGAAAAGCACTGGGAGCTTGATGGAAATTCACGCCAACTCCCAGTTCACAACCCTCGGATAGTCGAACGGTCATAGCACGGTAAGAATTGCACGGTGAGCAGAAAACAACGACACCCGTAAGAGCTATGATAAAAACTGAAGCGAACAATATTAGAAAAACGTAAATGGCCGAAACATTCAGTTTTAAGTTATTGCAATAATCGAAATTTACGAACCACTGAGCATATCACGATGTAGAAGGTAACCGGTAACCGTCTCGATCAACAGTAACCATGAGAGTCGTGAATTTGGACTATTGCCTTTCATACTCTATCGCGAAAAATTAAAGGTTCCGAAGGTGACTTTTCGTCATTTTTCGTTTCTCGGTTTCGCGTCAGTTTGAACGGGAGGAGGGAGCACTGAGATAACTTCCCATGTCCCACATCTTGACCGAGGATCATTCATCTTTTATACGTTTCCGAGGTAAAATACTTCCGATCCCAAAACATTAACAGAAACTTCACGTTTCCCGTAAATGCCATTACTGTATGACCATTAACCATACCCTATACATGTTCCATGTGGACTAAACTAATTTGCCTTCTAAAAGTTTCATGGGCCTTGGTTTTCCCCATTTATCTGTGAACGCCCATAACTACAGTTAATTAACCTTTCGTTCGACAAGGAAGAGGTTAGATTTTCGGTTGAACGTGATTGTATTGTACTTTAGTTCGACAACTGTACGATCAGATCATTTCTTTGGTGCTAACGTATGTACGAACGACACTTTTTAAAAAGGGTTCGACCACCGTGTGATCTTCGAAAGCCGCATAACAGGATTTGCACAATTTTGTTCACCTACCTGTTTGTTTGATCAGTTATTTCTAATATTAAAATTTCTATACAACAAATCTAAACCATTGTTAGTAGCAGTGAACCTTCCTTTAGATGCAACGATGCCGACTTTACGTAACGTAGCGGCCAAACATAGCTCCATTACGAATCCCCAATTCTGCTGACGGAAAATACTTGCATTTGTATAAACCTGTGTAAAACAGGAGAATTGAAACTGTCAAATTTTCGTGCAACACTGAAGTGATAATTTTGTGTTTCTTTCCTCTATCGTGCACACGAATCTACAGGCAGCCCGAATGAGACAAAGTAGTTGCCTATTGCTACTTGTGGGTTAGTATAAAAAAACTCGATAATATTCGCTCTTTCACCTGTATCTTGGGCGCTTTAAACAATCCGTCGAGCCAGTATTCTCATATTGCAATGAGTTAATTCAGAATAATTTATTTCGTAATCAGGACAATACATCGCTGATCATAAATAACATTCCATCAAGAGAGATTTCGAACGATCGATATCACTTGGGTCCTAGGATTTAAGCGGGCCTGGGTCAGTGGAAACGAATTTCAAACGCTTTTATTGTGGAAAACAGTTGATCGAGAATGTGCCAAGATAGTTGACCCTAGAACAGATATGGCGGGTAAAATGCCTCGGTCATGTACGTATTGGGAGTTATTTCAGTTTGGTGTGAAATCACAAACACGGTGAGTGAGTGACCCAGTCCTTATTGTTCAGCCAAGCAGGGTGATGTTTACTATTCCGTTCGACCAGTCACCTAACAATTCAGCGCATTGAATTTGTGCCACAGAAACACAGAATGAGACCACCGGGTCGGACATATGATAACTTAACTGCAACCACATGCAAAATCAACATTAAACTAACCGTCATCCTTACGGGATTTCGCTGTTCTGCATCCACGTAATCAGTTTATTTATCTTTTACTCTCTCATGGATCTGTGCATAAAAGCTCTATTGATCCCATTCTCACCGACAAGTTCTGAGGACAATTTGAACAAACCCTGGTGCTTGAAATGTTAATTCCGATTAGGAGTCTTTTAATTTTAATTTTAGTTCCGTTTGTTACGTTTTCCCCATGACAGCAAAGCCATTCCTGTGTGCTAAAAACCGTTAGTACCGTTAGCACGAGGTAAATTTGTGATGTTAATTTTCTGTTCCCCAAAACAATGTTCTGTTTGCCCGGTGCTATGTTTTTAGTCCATGTGGATGGATTACGATTTACTAAAAACAAACATGTTGGCAACATCGAGTTTTATTTATAATCAGCTGTATGAAGCAAAACTTTATCGTGTTCATTTAACTTTCTACCTGCTATCAAACCCCTAATACAATTTAAATTAGTGTACTATCGAGGTATCGATAGCATTGACCGAACTTCTGAATAACAAGCATGTTCAGTTCTCTTTTAGTTTGACACAAGAGAGCCTATTTCTGACCTACCGATATTCGATTAACCACATTTAGAACAGCAAGCACAAATTAACCGATGGAGTAAGAAAAGCATTAAACTGGTAAGGTGTATCTTTCTGAAGATTCAACGTATTGATAAAATATTAGAAGCGATTTAAAGAAAGGTTGGAAGACTTTTCATCCGTGGTGCATTTCAAGGTACGTTTTGCATCGAAATGGATTCCATGTAAAGCGAATTTCTGGAGGCTGCTACTTTCAAGAGGTGCCATACCGCAGTTTCACAAATCTTTGAAAATTTTAGCAAGTCACTAAGTAGTGGATGCATGTTACATAACATTATAAAACATTGGTCATTATATGAAATAATCAAATGCTGCATCTGAAAATCCAACTCCTCGAAAGAACACATCCATTACATATGGATAAAAGGAATAACAATAGTAGAAGAAAACAAGCCATTGGTCAGGATTGTGCCACAGACGATAACTAACCATGGATTAACTGGTAACGTATTAGTGATTGTATCTGACTTTTCAACTGTTTACTGTGACATCTGAAGCGTTTCGGAGTTACCGTGTACCGAATTTGCTTACATTTCATTTGAATCATGGTTTGCTCCAAATGGAAAAATGGCTTCTACACATGGATTCGCAACGTAATCCAAATATGATTAAATCCCCTGATTCTGATAAAAGAACGGGGATAGGACAGTAGTCCTAGCCTACGGGCATATACGAATCGGATTCAACTCCAGTTCTATTGAGCGAACCTCCTTAAACGAAGATCGACCCCTCCCGTCGTAAGCACACATAGAAACGGATGACTAAACTAAAAATACACTGCAACCGGGTCTATTCTTCCAAAAGTCAGATGACCATCCCTCCTTCAGGTAGTTGCGATGTAAATGATAGGGCGTTAGCCCGCTAACATGAAAACTAACCGTGCGCCCATAACGCATAGTTTTGGGCACTTTGTTAAACTTACGCTTTTACAAACATGTCTCCTTGATCCGCTTAACTATGCCCTTTCCAACTGCTTATTCCAGATGGAAGTAAACCTGAATGAGTAAAAATTAGTTGAAACGATAAATCAATAAAAGAAATAAAGAAAATAATTGGAAAATTCAATTCCAATATTTTTTGCATCTATCAACTCATTTGTTTAGTATTATCTTGAACGCAATCGTATTTAAATACGTAACAGTGGGATCTTTAATTGCTTTCGATGAAAAGAGCTATATACGCGAGGGAATTGATTTTTAGGCTGGATATCTCTCAATTAAGTCAAAACCCTTCTGATGCAGTTTGATTGAAACGGATGACAGTCAGCATTAACATGCCATCGGAACAAGTACAAAATCGAGGGGTAGATAAGTATATCACTGGAGATAACTCACACTGATTATCTCTCGAATGTGTACAGTGGTCAAGCTGATCGAATAGCCTAGGCCGGGAAGACTCGCATTGGACGAGGCCAAATCATTGGCGTGAGTAGCAGAGGAAGCTGAGGCTGACGATGCAGCGGATGTTGAACTGAACCACACCTGATCGGCACTAGCACTGGCTGAAGTGGCGCTATACTGAGACAGTTGGGGTGCGGCTCGTGTGTACTTGCATAGTAAGATGGCACGGTGGAACAGGAGAACGAGGCGTAGATCCTTTTTGCCAGCCACACGAAAGTGACCGTGCAGCACTAATTCGCCCCAGTTGTCCACATCAAGTCGCATTGTCCGCAACTGATCAATAAGCTCACGACAACGTTTCTTCTCGTTGATATGATCGGCAACCTGGTCAATCAATTGGAGGAGAAGTTGATCCAGAACAAAAAGAACAGGTGAAATGCGTGTTTACATTTTGGGGGAAGTAGAATCAGTGTCGGGTCCTCGTGACTACAGCGTTTTAAATTCCAAAATAAACCACGTGACGAAATACCAAACTGTTGTCGTTCTCATATTGTGTACGTCCTAACTTTGTGTGATCACAAGCCCAGGCAATTAAAAAATGTTCCCATCTTTGCCCAATCGGAGAACAACCGGAAATACGATGTGTTCATTATTATTTCAAATGATACCCATCATTTGGAAATAGACGGAAAGCATGAAAACAACTCGTACATCTCCAACCGACAGAAGGATGAGTATTAGTAACACT